ATTCCTTCTTGAGTGTCTCCCGAGACAGACATCTGTCTTTGTGGATCATAATGATAGCCAGAGCTTGAAACAGTCAACTGTCCTGATGAAGAAGGCAAAGATTGCGGCCCAGGATGTGAAGATTGGTATGAAGACCCATGAGGTTGACCTACATCTACAGCCTGAGAAGTATGAAAAAGAAAAGGGAAACAAATGTTAAGTGAGGCCTGAAATTAATAAACAAAGAATAGCAATGAACAAATTATATAAGAAAAAATAAGTGTTCCTAGAAATATGGTAAAAAGGATGGCCAATCCACGACGGTTCGGCCAATGCGAGATCTAGGAAGGGTAAACATATGCAAACCCTACAACCAGAGGAGATAAAGCCTCAAACGGATGTACCAGGAACTGCCATGCAGATTTTGCAAACAATCCTAATTAACCTACTTGTTATCCAGATTAACAAATTATATATCTCCCCACCAGATGCCGCAGCTTATAATTTCTGTATAAACACTGGAATCTACAGAACTACCTGAGGGTGCTAATGTTGAGCAACATACTTTCCAAATTGCTTTTCTTCCAATACATACAACTACTTACTTCCTTCCTACTCCATAAAACAAAAGAAATATATAAAGTGAGATGGTAACAATAAAGCATAATTACCTCAGTGGATCTTGAATCAACAGCAACGACAGGCTCAACGCCCTGACTCGTCATCCCACCGGAACCAACTTCCTCAGAGAACTGAATCAAACAATCCGATGCAAGCACTTACGACTACGATTCAAGACGACCAGAAACAAGCAAACATAAACGAAACCCTAAATACCCCCCCAAAAAAAAGGGCCCCTTGAGGCCGATGATTGCGTCAAGAGGGCTCCTTTCTGGCAGATCAGAAGCAAACAGCCAAACGTCGAGAGGAAAGAGAGCAAAAAAGAAACGAAAATTAGAAAAATAATCGAACAGAGGGGGAAAACTTTGACTCCTCGCAGTTGAGATACGAAATAAAAGGTGAGGAACTACGGAAGGAACGGAGAGATGGAGATCTGAAAAGAAAAGGAGAGACCAATCGGCGAAGAATCGGAGAAACCCCGGAGAAATTTGGGATATTTTTTTCGCCTCGTACGGCTGATCCTTTTCAACCCTCGCTGTTCTCTCCACCGGCGGGGCGAGAAAGAGAGGAAAAAAGGATCGAAACAATGGTTTCAGCGACCAGCGAGATGCGCCCATCTCACGTTATTTATCTCGGTTCGATCAAGCGCGCTCGAGCCATGTGGTTTGGGTTGCGGACCGACGGCTTCGTAGATCGTCACCGACCGATGAGACAACATGCTACTAAATCGCCCCTCGTCGCAGAGGCAGTCTTTTTCGGTGGAGCCCACAAAGCGTCGCCCTCATCCGTTGAGTAACGGGGTGGGTTCGGACCGAGGGCGTCGGATTAACCCGATGTTCTGCAATTATTTGAGGCCGAGCACAATTTGACTCCGAATCCGCTTTTTCTACGTGACGACCGAGTCGAACTCAAAGTGAAACTGTGTTTAATTTCCTCGACAAGACAAGCTCGAATATGACTTTGCTTGACCATGTGTGGCTCCTTGAAGGCTCGATTTAGAAACATTAATACAAATAGCACAACATATATTATCATCTGAATCGATAAATCCAATTTCGAGTTGAAGCTCATAGCAAGAAACCCATTTTTTTATAAGACCGACATAAATAAATATTTATTCTGGATAATATGATTATAGATAGTAATATCCTAAAATTAAATTGCATGGTCACCATTTATATTCACCGAATATTCGTTTATGGTGGTATGCTATTGCTAGTCATAGATATTTTGTAAGTCAATCACATGCGTGATAGCACGTGTGACTTAACACGCAGTCTTTTTAATTATTATTATTATTTGATATTTTATCAACTTATATTATGTGTTATTTGAATATATTGTGATATCCATGAATATATGCAATGACAATCGAATCGTGATGAGATCACAATAATGAAATCGATTCATTTTTAAATACAGATCCTAAATAAATCTCAGTTATAGTTACTCGAGAGATACATCGAGATAACCGAACATACTTGTGTATTGTATACTCGTTCATATGATGGATACAGTTTGTATCATAGCTGCTCGTGTGGGGACACTAGGGATACAGTATAGGTACTCATTGGAAAACGAGTTTACTGATTGATCCACTTACAGAATGTTAGATGGTTAATGATGTCTTATTGTCAGACAATGATTCCATAGTCCCAGTGGTGTATTTGGTCCTTAAACTTGAGACACAAAGGATGTCTTGTATAAGTACTACATTCTTTGATACTAAACATGTCTAGAGGTTCCAAATCTAATACAACCGGTCATCAAGAGTGGTAGCCAACCTTACAATGACTATTCAGTGCCGATAGAGGATCATCCACTCTCAGTATCATGAGAGGAATATCTTATATATTCTTTCTTGAACAAATCCCTGGTAATGATCATTCAGATTGTGAGAGAAAGAGTTATTTGAAAGAATCCGATTATAGCGAGACTCTAGCAGAAATCGTATGGGTCTGACAACACCGTGTCTAATATACGGTTTCTGGGATATTAGATGAATGAGGGATTATAGGTATATGATAACTGAGGACGGACAGGTCCAATAGATTGGAATCCCCTTTATCGTTTGAGGATTGCGACGTAGTGGCCTAGTACGTTCACAATGAGTCGAGCGAATTATTATAGAAATAATAATTCATTGAGTCAAAAGGAGTTTTGACGTGTATGACTCACGACCAGCTCGATATTGGGTCTAGAGGGTCACACACATATGGTAGGCGTTACAATAAGTAGAGATTCAGATAAGAGATATCCGTCGGAGCCCATATTTTATTGGATATCCAATAAGCCTCAAAATTATTGGATCAATAAAATCCAATAAGAACTAATGAGAGATTATAGGATACAGATCCACTAATCTAAGAGACTTGGGTAGTTGGATGAAGATCCAATACCCAATATGGCATGATCCATTAAGGTTAAGTTGATAGGGAACCTCTATAAATAGGAGGGAATTCATAGACTAGAGTCTTTTTGGATCACCGCTAGAGGGGAGGACGCTTGACTTCCTTCACCATATCCTAAAGATCTACAGAGATTCAGGGATATACGATCTCCCTAGATAGCACAATCTTTCATATATCCAGTTTTAAGTTTTATAATTTTTGCGCATCAATCTTCGTACTGACGACGAACATGAGAAATTGAGGCTTTAATTTTTAATAATTTTTTACTATGCATATAATGTCGTCCCTAGATTTCTCTCCAAACTCATGTTTGGTTAACGTCTAAACATAACATGAAATCAAATCTTACATGTAGCAATGCATCGCCTTCAAGTCTTACATGCTCATCCATTATTATTGAGGTTGAATCGTTGATAAAAAAAATATTTAAGCTCATGGTAATAAAATCATCTGGTCCTTATAAATTTATTCATATCTTAGCTCATTTTTTATATGACGTTAGATTTTGGAGTGCTATAGTCTCTCACTTCGAAATATTGACAATGACTGATATAACATCATTTGATAGTCTTTTTTTATTCGAGTATCTTAGTATATTCAATACTAATTTATTCTGGTACCATTTTATTTTCTGATATAACATCTACTAAAAATTTTCATAATTATTTTTAAAATCCATATTTATAGTTAATTTTAATTTTAATTTCCGCAATCGCTTCCATAATTACCAACCTGATCTCCTTATTTTCCTAAATAATTCATTGTTTCATTAATTAATACCCCTCTTTTCTACTAAATTCTAGAAGTAAATCATGCATCATATCACCTTTTTTTTATACATTAAAAAAATGAAAGTAACTAGTATTCATGGATAATTAAACAATAATATCAATAATATTCATAATTAAATTAAAGAAAAAGTAATATAAAAAATTTGAGTATAAGATCCCCACAATTCTTTCCCACGTCGATGTCTTGGCAGTGGATGAAAAGGAGTAAACCATATATAAAATGGGGGAAGAGGAGGGCTTCAAAACAAAGGTAAGAAATTTTAATTTTGTTTTAAATTTAAATTATTAAATAATACCTGATTTAGAGGTATATATTATAAACACTAACTATAACTAATTTTAGTTAACACTATTTTAGTTAAGAAACAAGAATTTAATTATGGAGGTTACAATCTCATATGAAACACATTTAAATATACATTTTAAATGTAAATTGATGTTTGGTAATTTTTTTTAGATCGTATTTATTATGATAGAATTAGTATTATAATATTTATGGGATACTAGTGAAAATATTTAAAATTCTCATTGTACCACCCTATAACATTCTTAAAATCATAATGTTACCATTATATAAATAGAAACCCTAACCTTGTAGATATATCTTCTATAAGGTATATTTTTATTTATTTATTTATTTTTTTTAAATTATTTCATATTTATTTATATAATTATATTTTTATTTATTATATATTTGGGCCATACAAATATTTTTTATAAGATCACACACACACAAATAAAGTTTATTTACTTATTAATTTATTTTAATTTTGAATAAATATTAAAAATAATACAATTTATATTTATTTATTTATTGTATTATTTTTTATTTTGAATAAACATTAAAAATAATAGAAAGATAAATTTGTCACACTATATTTAATAAAATTTTAAAATATAAATTTTATCTATTGTGAACTAAACACTCCAAGCATTCCAAATGCATATTCACTCAAATCTCTTTCTCTAACTAGAATGTAAATAAGTTCTCAAATACACCTTGACTTTCTTGTAATATGCAATGATCATAATAAGTAGACCCCTTGAAAGTGATAAGTCTCAATATATAATATTCATATTAAAAATATAAATATGTTCCTAAATAGGCCTTACACATTTGATCCGGTTGTTCCTTTGACCCTACAATTAGGAGCCTAAGGAGCAAATCAACAGAAATGGATGCCTATGGCATAAGGATAAAAAAAAGAGAGAAACATCTAATCTAATGAAGCTCAAATTTGCTCATCCTGTCGACAACAAATGTAATACTGATATCGACCTCTTAGACACCAAGTTACACCAAACAAACATGAGCATATGGTCGTGGTGGTCTGAGACACAAACAATTACAATGACTCTTTCCATAATTCAAAGAAAAATTGTCTTCTCTGTACGTAAATTAGTAAACTTCAAAATTTGGACTTGTATAATTACATCCATGGAAGCTTTTCTCATGCTACTGGTAATCATGATTAGAGAAGTTCAGCTGAGCAAGAGATTGTTGAATCACATACTTAGACCCAGTTCATCTTCAATGTCATCACCTTCCTCGAAGAGCTTTAGAAAATGTGCTTGATCTTTCTCCCTCTTCCTCTTCTGCCAGTATTTGTATGCACCTACTGTTACAATAGTAGCCATTATTGAAACCAACACACTGATTACTACTACCAGGATGAGGTCGATTTTTTTGTTGGCAGATCCGTCACTTGAGGTAGAAGTTTGAGCAGAATCTATGACCCCAAAAAAAAGTTAAGATGACAATTTTACCACAGCAGAGCTCACAAGTAAATGAGCAATATTAAAAATACATGAATGGCTATATTGCAGCTGGAGTTGATAATGTTTGCCATTGGTAAATCTGATAGTGCAACAAGTAACAATGTTCATGCATTTTATATTTTGGAAATTTATTTTTCATATTTCAGGAAATAAAAAGCTTCCTTAATTCTGAAAATTCCAAAGCATGAATCCTTATCTAAAAATTATCTTCTATATGATACCATGGTTTAGAAGCAAGTTTACTCAATGTTTGTGATCTTTGATTGATTCCAGAAATTGAATCATATAATTGACCTCAGATTTGGAGCATTGTTCACTTGATCTATGAGATTGAACTATCGAAGAGTTGCTGCATAGATCACACAGGATCAGTCTACCAATGCTGAGCTCCAGTTGAGATGCCTCTGACAAATTGGGAAACAATTCACCTATTGCCTTTCTCCTTCAAGACAAGGCTCCTCTTGTGTTTTTAGATTTGTTCCCACTAAGCATCCTTCTTTATTTTTGATTTTTATGAAAGTGGAATTAAAGTGGAATATTCGGAAATACAATTACAAACAAAAGAACATGTGCAATTGATAATAAGTGTAATTAAAGATATTTTTATGCTATGAGAAAATCATTAAGACAATAATTGATAGTAAGTGGTTTATCATCAAAATAAAAAAATTGACACAAGTACAGGCAAGAACATGTGCAATTAAATGGAAACTGCTAAAGAAGGCATCTAGGGTTTACAGAATCATAGAAAATCAATATTTAGCAGTGAAAATTACATGAACAATGGGAATTTCTTACCGGTGGCAACTTGACAATCCTCACATAACAATGTGGCATTGAATTGCTTTGCTTTATAATGTATGGATATACCATTTATGAAATCATCCAAGCAAAGGTCCCACTCATCGAACACATCATCGGACTTTATTGTGTCAAACTCATACAAACCACATCGCTTGCACTTCTTACCTGGAAGCTCTGTTAGTGGCTGGAAATAAAATTATGCATCAAAGTTAAATACTTCAAAGAAATGCATCCTATGCTTTTCAAAGTTAGAAATACCATATTGGGCAGCATTGCAGTTGTTCAACTCTAAAAAATAGGTGAAAAATACAAGTTGAGATAATAGGAGAAAAAAGTCAAGTCAAACAAAGAGGATTTGGGAGGTGAGAGGACAATGATTGGCCTGTAGAAACATTAAGTGCTGTATCAGTTTTAAAGGCTTACTAATATTCCAGCTGCGAAAGTAATATTTCCTCCGGATTTTTGCTCACGATGATCACCAGCCAGGGTGTAATAACCCAAGTCAAATATAACCCGGCTTATGCTCAGCTTGATCAGTTCTAAATTTTGACAGAGGTTGAGACCAATTGTTCAACAGCACATGTTGAAGGTTTGTCGTTGTCAAATTATCTACTGTTTATGTTAGTATCAAACATTAACAACAAGATCAGGGTCTGCTGTACCGAGCGGTATGGGCGGTACATACTGGTCCGACAGGTTGTCGGTACGCGGACCGACTGTTACCGGTCCGAGTGTACTGTAGCACTGTAGCACTGTAGCAGTGCTACAGTGCTACAGTACTCGGTACACCCAGGTGTACCGCTCGGAAATTATTGGTATTGCGAACCAGGTGTACCCAGGTGTACGGTATTGCAAACCTTGAACAAGATTTTCCCACTTGAAAATTATTGGTTAAGAAAATTTAAGAAAAAAAATAAATGAACCAAAAAGCATCTGCTAACTAGCTATTGAAGCTCAATGGACTTTGATTCAGACATTAAAAATGCAGAGCCTCAAGTAAAAAACCAATGTTGGAAGAAACTAGACAAAAGGAATAAAGGAAAATACATGAATTCTATAGAAATGAATTAAACCCGGATAGATATCCAACAAATTCAGAATGCTGTTATGCTATCAGAGAGAGAAATATATAATGAATTCCTAAATATCCCATGGCCTGAAAAAAATCTTTTAAATGTCAAGGCCTTGTGATGTATTTGTTTCATGGTCATGCCCAATATGACAGTCCATGTGAACCAAAATTAGCAACACAATGAAATATTCCTGAATTATCCAGTGAAACAATCACCTAAGAATTATTTATCTTAGTTGCGATGGAGACAAAACATGAAAGAATGAAGCACAATATACATGCACAAAAAAGAGAAAGAAAGAAAAGCAGTATAAGCAAATAAAAGGACTTCACAATGAACTTGTACTCTGCCATGCAAGGCCTATCATTATCATGAACTTTGACAAAGAAAATTTTCCAACAAGAAATGTATGAAGACCAAATGTACCATTGAAATATCTACTTACTACATTAAATTAGTTTATGATCAGAAACTGAGACTTGAAGATATATTCAATATTCAAGCAAATCATAAATAATTCAAATTGTTGAACCATTTTTTCAATTCTTAAAACGCACAAAAGACTGTGTATTCCTATATTAGAATCCTATATTTGAGTTGAGATTCTTTAATAAAATGTGCAACACAAAGATCACATGAGTTGTTCATTAATTGCTTCAATCTGTATTGATCATAAAAAGGGGCATTAATTTTCTTCCAACAACCATAACAGAATCAACATGCTCATGGATAATGGATAGATTTACCTAGTTGCTTATAATTATAGTCAATATGATTGTTTGAATATTCTCAAGAAAGTAGTAGGAAAGTTGATAACTAAGAGTGCAAACACAAGTAGAATGAAAGGAAACCTAAATACAGACCTGCCAGGATTCTTCACCATAGAAAATATATGAAAAATGTTTCTCCTTTACATCAGGCAAGATTGTCTTGTTCTCTCCTTTGCAGTAGAAGTAGATTGTAGGATGTGGACCAAGAAACTCATGAGTGTTGTAGATTTGAATTGATCTGAGTGTTATGGCCTTTGATGAGAGACTTCCTGCAAAGAGGATGGATCCTCATGACTTTGGAAGGGACTACATGCTCCAGTTTACTCCAACAAATTTACAAGTTGTATCAGCAACTAAATTGTGTAGTGTACAAGTTGACAAAGTTGTAAAGCAGCACAGTGAGTATGCACCATGGCGATGATTGGTTAACACCAATCACAATGCAGCATTTTGATTGTCCAATATGCAGGGCAATTTCAAGTCAACAAAGATTATACTTGAATTTCAACTGGTAAATTCAATTAGTAATTTTTGGGACAATTATAGATATATACTTAAATCAATTTTATATCACAATCAAACTACTTGCAGTACATTTTGATTCATGCTCATTAATATTATTTTAGGTAAAAAACCATTTGAAATGGTATGGACAATTAAAGGAGACCAATAAATGCATTATTGAATGAGATGAATCAAGTAGAATCAGAAGTGTGAGAAAAAAAATGAAAGATATATAAAAACTTTATTATAGATAACTCCAGTAAAGATTGCCCACTCCAAGAGTGAAATGCACTCATGACCCACTCAAAATCCAAGCATGTTAATAAGAATTCAAACACATCAGGAAATTCATGGCAAATCACCTAAATTCCTAGTTTCTCAGTTGGAAACACGTGAAAGTTTCTAATTCGATTAGCTCAACTCCAGTAACCTGGTTCAGAAGTTATCACCAGAAAATATAACAAAAGAAGGAACAAGCACGTAAAAGACTTCAAGTTGCAATTTTGCTAGGGACTTCAATTACTAACGGATTTTATTTTTTCTATTTTAAATGCTATAATAATATTAGGATCTAACTGACAGTTAGGAAAATGAAATTGGAACAATAAGAATTTGAATGAAAGTTTCTTTTCTCTTGTCTAGCATGGAAAGAACATTTAACAAGAGAAAGCTGAGGGTCTGAAGGTTTTTACCTGGGACCATTTAACACAAAGTAGAGGATGACTTCTTACTGAGGGTCCGAAGGTTTTTACCTGGGAATCCGTCATGAAATCGGAACAAGAAATACAAATATGTTTGTTAATAAATGATCAGAAAGTACATCTCACAACATCTTTCTTGGATAAATACTCTTCTTCTTTGGTTTCTTTTCCTTTATTGTTACTTTTTCTTTCTTCTCTCCAAAGCACACAGGTTCAAGTCGATCTTCCAAATGCTTACTTTCACCATTCATTTTAATCACTGTTTGAATATCTTTCAAATATTAACTACAAACTAAAACCAGATGTCAACCCTCTACAAGATTAGTTAGAACAGAGGCTTCTGGTAGATAAAATAGCTGAGCAGTTAATCAAGCTCATTAGTTGCATTCTGACCTTAACATTCAAGAAACAGTTCTACATATTCCCCATATTGTCATTAATAATTTGCTATTTTCCTTCATCCCTGGAGTTCAATTAGCCTTCTGTATAGGAATAAATACGTCCCTAAGATGTTACTGCAGATGATTAAACAACTCAAACGTTTATAACCTTACTCTTTTTCTCCTATGCAGCAATTACCTTTCTGTCTGTCCTAGATGAATAATTATTACCAAGCAATTCTCTAGGTTTGCTATATACATCGGATTGACTCTTCACAATCAAAATAACTTAACTGAAATGGAAGAAAAAATACATCAAAATTTGAAGCTTAAAGACACAACCAAACAAAGGTCTCCAACTTTGAAAAGGGGAAGAAGCCCATGACTAAAAATTTAAAACGTAAAACGAAAGTTGGCTAAAAGAAATAGTTTTCAGACACAAAACTATTGCACTCTTAGTCAGAAATCCAATTTCCCCCAAATCCGAATATCGTCATTCAACTTTGCAAAACAAACTTGCCGATATCATGTGTGGGAAATAAATGACACAGAATGGTGCTCAAATCAGCCATCGATGCAGCACGAGATAAAACAGATTTACTCTACGCGTTGCAAAGAATCACAAGCAAGCGATCGAGATGAGAGCAGGAAAGGGTTCAGCTGGTTACTCTACCTGGGATGGAGGAGAAGATGAGAGATGAAATGAGAATTAGGTGGGGAATCGAGACGCCAGAAAGAGGCAGATATCTTCGTACCTTCATATGAATTTAGAAGAGAAAAAAAAAACAAAAAGAAAAAGAAAAAGAAAAAGAGATTGGAACGAAGGGGGAAGGGATAACAAACAAAAGGAGAGACCGAGGAACGTGGAAAAAGAGAGCAAACATGTAACTCTATTTAGGTGGACCCCATTCACAAAGTGTCAGGGATGACGTATCCTCCAATAACTGTGTTCTGTGGACCAAATCTTGAAATTTTCCAACCAGCCATGTCTGTCGGGGAATCGTAAAATTAGAAGAATTTAAAATATAAATAGAAAATCGATTCATACTTGTCAAAGAAAAAAGTCAGCGCGAGGAAGAGATAGAGTGTCTATATATTCATTTTCTATACAAAGAACGAGGTTACAAGGTCTCACCGGTCGAAGTTTCTGGTGTAACCATACTAACTCAATTAGGGGTTCATTGGGCCTAATTTGAAATTGAATTGGGCTTATTAGGAAGCTCATTCAATGATCCAAAAGTTATGTCAGACAATGACATTGCCAAACTAGTAGTGGAACCACTTATGAGCTATAAAAGTTAAGAACATACTTTTCTAAGTTGTTAGGTAGTGGTACCATCCAGGCGATGGTACCACCGAGTGTCAATGTGTCAAGTGGTGGTACCGTTAGATTGGGTAGTGGTATCGTCTAGTGTCAAATTGATAGGCGATAATATCGTTTAGTATTAGATTGATAAGCGATGGTACTGTCCAATACTGGTGGTGGTACCACTAGTACATCAAAAACTTAGGAATTTAAATTTTGACTTTAATTTTTGAAATTATTTAGGATATATAAAAACCCTACAAATTCCTGCATGGGAAAGGAAGAAAAAGTGTGAAAAAGAGGAAAGTATAATTGTAAAAAGTATTGTAATTTCTCTTGAAGTGTAGAGTCTCTTCCTCCTAGTGTTTAGAGGTCTTTCTAAGTGAGGAGTGAGCTCTTAATGTAAAAGAGAGAAATATAAATGTTCTCTCTTGAGCCTATGAAAAGGAAAAAGAGTTGTAAGGGTAGTTGATATTCATCCATTAAAAAGAAGATCGTTAGTGGAAGCCGGTGGCCTCGACAAAGGAGGAATCAAGAGTGGATATAGGTCACATTGATCGAACCACTATAAATCTAGTGTACTCTTTTCTCTTACTATTTACCTTTATTGCTTACTGATTTTGTTGCTCATTACATTCTATGAACGTTTTCAAGTTAAATATTTTTCTGATATTGGCTTTATCGAATGAGATTTTTTAAATCATTGAAAGTTTATGAAAGCACTTATTCACCCACCACCCACCCCCCCTCTTACTGTCATTTTCAATCCTAACAGATGGTATAAGAGTCAAGTTTATCTATATTTGGTTTAACACCCAAGAGATATAGTTTTTGCCGGTAATCAAGAGGGTCACTCTATCACTCATCCTCATATATTTAATAGGACAGACTATACATATTGGAAAACATGAATGAGAATTTTTTTGCTTGATATAGATTTCGATTTATGGAATATAGTTGAAAGTGGTTTTCAAAAGTTTTCCAAACCAATGAACGAATAAAATGATTTAGAGAAGAAGATTTTTTCTTTGAATGGTGAAGTGATGAATGCTTTGTTTTGTACTTTAGATAAAAATAAATTTAATCATGTTTCTATACGTGAAACTACATATAATATTTGATGCACACTCAAAATCACACATGAAGACACAAGTAGAGTTAAAGATTCTAAAATTAATCTTTTGATGCATAGTTTTGAATTGTTTCGGATGAAACCAAGCGAAACCATTAGAGATAGTCATGTACATCCGTTTTATGGATGTCGTCAATGGTTTAAAAGCAGTTGGTAAAAGCTTTTCTAACCTTGAACTTGTAAATAAAATACTAAGATCTCTTCCAAAAAGTTGGGATCCAAAAGTGACGGTAATACAAGAAGCAAATGACTTAAACAATTTCGCTCTTGAAGAACTTATTGGGTCTTTAATGACCTATGCAATGACTTGTATGACATATGATGAATATGAGAACAACTTTCCAAAAAATATGAAGGATTTGACGCTTAGAACTAAAGAAGACCACTTGGGAGAAAACTCAAGTGATGATGATGATGATGACCTTGAACTTCTCACAAGAAAATTTAAGAAGTTCATAAAACAAGAATCCAAGAATAAAAATGAACTTATAAAAGATAAAATAACTTGCTACGAATGCAATCGACTCGGGCACTTTAAAAGCAAATGTCCACAACCGAAGAAGAAGATACTTGCACATCAGAAGAAGAAGAAAGTACTTAAAGCAACTTAGGATGAATCGAGTGCAACCGAAGATGAGGAGCAAACAAATGAAGATGAGGTGGCGAACTATGCTTTGATTGCTCTCGACGATGAGGTAAGTGACTCAACTAAAACCCCTTTACCTTATAATGAATTACTTGATACATTTCATGAGTTGTTTGATGATTTTAAATTAGTTAGTAAGAAATATAAAATGTTAAAAAAGGATCGTGCTTCTCTCTCTAATAAATTTAAAAAATTAGAAAATAAGCATGATAATTATATGTTAACCTCTTATACTCAATGTGAAGAGTTAAACTTAGTCAAAAAAAAAAATTTATCATTATAATAAATATTAAAAATATTTAAATTAGTAATAAATCATTAGACATGATTTTTACTAATAAAAGTCATATTTATAGAAAAGAAAGAATCGACTTTGTGAGTAACACTTAATAAAAGCCAACTACTTTTGTTAAAGGACTCACATTGCATGTTACCCCTAAAGTTAAGTGTAATTTTTGCGGTAGATATGAATATTTTGCTTATAAATGTTCATTTAAAAAGTATGATTCACATAAATTAGTTTGAGTTCCTAAAGGAACCATAAATGAATTTATGCCTAAAATAAGATAAGTAAATCTAACCATGAGGGACCCAAAGATAAATGAGTATCTGAAACAACAATAATAAAGAAATAATTATTGACATTGGAATTATTTGATTAAAGATGCCTTATTGTTTAATGTGTTATACTATTGATCTTAATAAATTCTGTTGTAATGAAACTTGGTTTTGTTGAATCTCAGATTTTGATGATGAAATTAATTGATGAGTTTTGATCTAATCTGCATTTTGAGTGACGCGAGACTAGCTTCAATCATAAGAGATAAATTGATTAAAGTAGGAGGAATCAGATGTTGGGCCGGAGTTGAACATGTCAGAAGATTGGACATCGGGCCAGAGGATCGGTTGAAGTGTTGACAGAAAGCTTCGTGTTGTGAATTCGAGCATCAGGGATCAAACATTGCACAAGGATATTGGAAGTTGCAGGTGTCAATATGCCGATTGGGAAATATGCCGAAGGAGAGGATAATGCGTCGAAGGATTGAACGAAGCGTCGGAAGAACTAATGATATGTCGAATAATAGATGATTCATACTTTGTAATAATTTGTCTAGATCGAGTTAGTTTAAGTCGTAATTGGGTTGGTTTAGAATGTAATTAAGCTAATTTAATTAAGGGCCAACTAGGCCCAAAGTAGGGCTGTTTTGGGCCAAGAGAAAAGCCCATTCAATGGCCCAAAAGTTGGGTCAAGCGGTGGTACCTTCAGTGGCTCAGTCTCCGAGACACAATCTCCAAGACTGTGTCAGGAGGTAGTACCACCAGACTAGGCGGTGGTACCGCCTACTGTCAGGCAGTGGTATTGTCAGACTGGGCGATGGTACCACCTAGTGTCAGGTGGTGGTATTGCTAGTCTAGGTGGTGGTACCGCCCAGACATAGTCTCCCAGACTGTGTTAGGTGGTGGTACCGCCAGACTGGGCAGTGGTACCGCCTAGTGTTAGTGCTACAGGCAGTAGTACCACCCAGCAAAGGCGATGGTATCGTTAGTACCTCGAAAACTAAGGATGAGACACTTTTAGGCTTCAAGTTTGAATTTATTTGGGGCCTATAAATATCCCTCTCATCTCTGCTCAGATTACACAAGAATTATGAACAAAAACAAGGGAAAATTTTATTGTAAACTTGTGAGAGTTCTCCTCCTCTAGTATAAGTGTGATTTTTGTTTAGAGAGGAATGAGTGGGGGGTGTAAAGGTTCTCTCTTGAGCCAATCAAAAGGAGAATAAAGTTGTAAGGATAGTTGGTCTTCGCCCATTGAAGGAAGACCGTTAGTGGATGCTGGTGGCCTCGACGGAAGAGGAATCGAGAGTGGATATAGGTCACGATGACTGAACCACTATAAAACTCGGTTTGCATTTACTTTAAGCTCTTTACTTTCATTGTAAACTACTTTACTTACTTATTCACTAGGCTTCCGTACACTTTCAAGTTAACATTTTTCTGATATAATTTTTCATTGAGCGAAAGTATTTCAAAATCGACGTTTTTATCGATGCATTAATTCACCCCCCCCCCCCCCTTTTGTCTTAGTGCCGACTCGATCCTAACAGTTGGTATCAAAGCCATGTTTTTCTCATTTGGTTTAACACATAAGAGAAATGACTCTTTTTGACTTTTAAGAGGGTCACTCAATCATTCGTCCTCGTATGTTCAGCGGGACGGACCATATTTATTAGAAAACTCAGATGAGAATTGTTTTCATTGAACCTCGATTTATGAAATATCATTGAAAATGATTTTCAAAGGTCTTTTAATCCAATGAACGAATGGAATGATTTGGAGAAGAAAATTTTTTCTTTAAATGTGAAATCTATGAATGTTTTATTTTACACATTAGACAAAAATGAATTTAATCGTGTTTCTATTTGTGAAACTGCACATGACATTTGACACACTCTTGAAATCACACATGAAGGCACTAGTAGAGTTAAATATTTGAAAATTAATCTTTTGATGCATAATTTTGAATTGTTTCGAATGAAGCCAAGTGAAGCTATCGTTGACTGTACAAGCATTTTACGGATGTCATCAATAGTTTAAAAGCTCTTAGCAAATATTTTTTAAAATTTGAACTTGTGAATAAAGTTTTATGTTATCTTCCTAAAAATTAGGATTAAAAAATAATTATCATATAAGAGATAAAAGACTTAAACAAATTTTCACTTGAAGAATTTATCGGGTCTTTGATGACCTACGAAATAACTTATGTGGCAC